TCCAGTTCATCTTAGGAATTCCACTGTTTACTTCTGCAATAAATGTTCTGGTATTATAATATGAAAAAAAAAGAGAATTGAACAAAAGTCAGAAGTTTTGTCAATATCATCATTAGACAGAGTCCAGTATATAATTAGGGATGCCTTTGTTTAGAAGACGGAAAAGTGTTCACAGAATAAACATTATATTCTGACTAACATAAATTATTGTTGAGGTATAACTGACTTTTAGCTGACCCTCCAGCAAGTTTTCAGAGGCTGTAAATTGGACCAAAGGAGATTGCCCATTTTCCCCCCCTCAGATCAGCTTGTGGATTTGAATTGCTTGTCTTTGGATTGACAGGGCAACTCCTTACTTACTTGGCCACCAGAGCTTCCTATTTAACCTAGAAACACACAGAAAATGAGCAATATATATTGTTGTTATGTGCCATTGAGTCACCTGCAACTCTGTATACAATAGCTCTGAACCTTGCCCTATCCTGAACCAGTCTCACTGTCTCTGACACACCTATCCTCATTAATTGTGCCAATTCATATCATCCTGGTCTTCCACCCTTCCAAAGCATGATGTCCTTCTCTAGGGACTGATCCCTCCTGGCCTCATGTCCGAAGTATGCAAGACAGAACTTTAAAATCCTTGCCTTTAAGGGACAGCCTGGTTTCACCCCTTCCAGGACAAGCCTGTTTGTTCTCTTTGCAGTCCATGGTAGTTCAGTACTTTATCACCACAACTCAAAGTCATCTTCTCTCAACTCTAGTCATTGTCCAGCTCTCTGATGCATCATAGCAAGTAATTGTGAAGACCATGGCCTGAATCAGGTGCACCTTAGTTTCCAGATTGACATAATTTCTCTTAAGCATTTTGGAGAGATCTCTGACAGCAGCTTTCCCCAGAACAATTAGTCTTTTAATTTCTTGACTACTGTTACCAAGAGTGTTGATTGTGGAACTGAGTGAGCTCAAATTGTTAACAACCTCAGTCTCTTCTCCAACGGTCATGGTGCTGCCAATTGGCCCAGTGGTAAGAATGTTTATCTTCTTGATGTTGAGCATGTTGAGAACTTCTGCAGCAAGTGCTTCAGGTCCTCCTGTGTTTTGGTGAGCAAGATTGTGTCATCTGTATAACATTGGGTGTTGATAAGTCTTCTTCCAATCCTGATGCCACATTCCTCCTCATAAAGACCAGCTTCTCAAATGATCTGTTCCCTATATAGATTGAAAAGGTGTGGAGCCAGGACACCTCCCTGATACACTCCTGATTTTGAACCATGCAATATTTCCTTGCTCTGTTCTGAGATCCAAGTATAGGCACAGTGAGCACAATCAAGTGTTCTGGGATTCCCATTCTCCTCAAGGTTAGCCACAATTTGTCGTGATCCACACAGTCAAGTGCCTTTGCATAGTCAATGAAACACAGATAGACATTCCTCTGGCACTCTGCTTTTAACCAAGACATATCTGACATTAACTATAATGTCTCTGGTACCACAGCCTCTTCTAAACTTGTCCGGTATTTCTGGTAGTTCTCTGTTGATTAGTTATTATTAATTGAGCAATCCCATATTGTGAGGTGCCTTTGAGACGACGGATTCATATTGTACATACATGTCCAATAGAATGAAAATCTGCCTTATGTTTTACCCTCCTCACAATCTCTTCTGTGCTCAAGTCCATTTTGCACTCACTGTGTTAATCCATTTTCTCAAGGGTATTTCTCTTTTTCGCTGATCCTCTACTTTTCTAAGTTTGATACCCTTTTCCAAAGACTGACCCTTTTTTTTTTCATTTTCACATTTTAATTGCTTTTGAGTGTCATCTCTGTAAGCTAGAAAGCAAAATCAAACTAAGTTGTCCTGTTTTCTAGTGATTCAGGCTTGATCTTCAGCACAGCAGCAGGAATACAGAGGCCAACGAGGAGACTGGAAAACGCAAGGTGCTCACTTGCTCGTATTCTCCATCAGGAAAGAGCCAAAAGCCCCATCCTCAGATGGAGGCTACACAAAGCACCGTGAGCTACAGAGAACAGGACAACGCAAAGTGTCTTCTGAGCCACCTTCTGGAAAGCACATCAGAACCGAACGAGCAGTGAACAAAGTACATGTTTACATTCTCAAAATCTGCTCTGGGGGTTGAAAAATCCCCACCTGTTCTCAGTAAGTGTGTGAGTGAAGAGAGGAGTAAACAGATATGGGGACATTATTTGATTTTTACCAATATAATATCCCACAAGCTTATCATGTTCCCCCTTTAAAAAACAAACAAACAAACAAACATACATTTTCCCATTTGCCACAGAACAGACATTAAAGACTGTTTAGAAGAACATTTCAATTCGAAGGAGGTTGGGGAGAACACTTTCCCCTGCAGAAGACCTTCCGTGTCTCTTCACTATTAACATCATTATTCTTCCTTGATATAGATTCCTGTGGAAAACTTGTTGGAAAATTTGCCAAAGCCAGGAGATGAATAATAAAGGTGGCCTACTTAGTTACTTGGAAACTCAGTTGACAACTTTGGGATAGACCCATACAATCTGGCCCCAATCTTGCTAAGTGTCTTCGAACTAGAGAACTCCTTAGGCCTTAGCTTGAGCTGCTGCCCAGTGTCTTAAACTGTACTGGGTCCCATCCGTGCCGCTTCGGCCCCCGGTGGGTGCTAGTCATCAAAGTCTGGGATGTCGTCATAGGAGTAGCCCTGGTAACCTTTGGACACATAGTAGGCAATGTGCAGGTGGTAGAAGCCCGGCAGAAACACCAGGATGCCGATGATCAGCACGGGGAAAGGCCCGGTCTGCCCCCACTTGGCTGATGTAGCCTGCCAGCAGGAGGGAGCCAATGATGATGAGAAAGGCGCCAGAGCACAGCGGCAAGGGCAAGGGCAATGGCTTTGTAAGGGATCTTAGGTGGGCTTTTCTTAAACTGAAGGTCAATGTAGCCATCATCTGTGGAAAGTCTTGAGTATTTCACTTTACTACTGGGAATCCCAGCAGCCAGGTTGGTGCGAGATGGCATCATAACACGTTGACACGGCTACAGTCCAAGGCTGCGCCACCCGGTGCCCGCAAGACTAACCCTTTTGATAACATCCCTAAGGTATGTGAGACAAAGTCTCATGACCCTTACTACTTTTTTGTTTATTTTTTATTAATAATTTTAATGAACATTTACAGAGATTTTGGATTTCCATTCATTCATTGCTGCACTTCTCTCCCAGCCCAGCCCTCCCCCCCATTTGCTCCTCTCTTTCAAAAGTAAAAGAAACACTCCCTCCCTGGTACACAATCCCCCCCCGCACCCCCCCACCGCCCCAAGGACATTACACTATGCAACCTTAATTGTGGACTCTTGTGATAACCATAATACCCTATCATACATTGTTTTTAAATTATTATCTCCCTCATCTGTTTCAGTGCAGTATACACAATTTATCCAGTTTTTCTCAGTCTTACCCCAACCCTGATATCAGTCCCATTTTACAGCAGTGGCACCATGCATATTTGTCCTTTTGCGATTGAGATATTTCACTCAGCATAATGTCCTCCAGGCTCACCCATTTTGAATAATACTGCATGAGTTCCTTGTTTTTCAATGCAGCGTAGTATTCCATTGTGTGAATATACCACAGCTTCTCTATTCATTCGTTTGTTGAGACCCTTACTTCTAAAGAGCACTCTGGCTATAGTTTTTTCTAGTCAGATTTAATTCTTTTGGCATTTCATGGGATATTCAATATTCTTCACCCATATAATAATTCCAGAACATCAGTTATTATTCAGTCTTCTTTATTCATTGTCCAATTTCACATGAATATGAAACAATGGAAAATACCATCGTTTAAATCAGGAGCACCTCAGTCCTTAAAATGATGCTCTTGCTCTTTAGCACATACTAGATAGTAATTAATCTTCAGAAACAATTCTAAGAAGTAGGTGCTGCAGTATCCCTCCCCTATCTGAAAGTAGAGCATTTCAGTGAGACATTTCCTGAGCCAAAAATTGTATAATGCAAAGAAGCAAATACACGAGAACCATTATTTTTTGTATTTCTAAACCTTATAACTTTCCAGCAAGTCATACTAACTCAAACTCATTGCTTTGGATCGGATCTGACTCATAATAGAACCCCCCAAATGGTTTCTCGAGGTTCTTAAGGGAAATAGGAGAGATTGTCCATTTTTTTCCCCCACAGAGAAGGTTAGTGTATTTGAACTGCCAAGCAGACGTGACCGTCGAGTTAGCAGCACAACTACCTATGGACTACACCTTCAGAGCTCCCTAAATAATACTAATTGCACATAAAACCTAAAATAGCACTAACAGACACAGTTCAAATCTATGGCAACTTAACGCTGAGATGCTAGGGCGGAGGGAGGACCCAGGCGATGCTACTTGGGAGGGAGCTGTGTCTAGCAGGTTCCTGTAAAATAAACTCTGAACGCTAGTTTCGCTTTTCACATTTTATTCCATAAATGTGAGACTCCTCTTCAGATTTCATTCTCAACTAAAACATGTTTTAATGATTTATTTATTTTAGAAAAAGGTAGTGAGGTAAAATGAATTTACTGAAAATGGAGTCACCTGAATTACTATCCTTATTGTTTAGATGCAAAGGCAATTTGACAAAAAAAAAATCTAGAGGTGGGGAGTGGTGGAATCTGACCTTAACTCTTGTTTGCCTGGTGCCTAGGATGCAGTCTCTTAATTAGGATGGATTATTAACGTCTATTTCCTTCCTCCAAGCCTTAGGGAGAGTAAGACAAAGCTTTTGTAGGGTGAGAGGTGAGTGGCTTTCAGGAAATGGGAAAAGTCACGAATTTGGGGCAGAGCTAGCCGAGCTTGGTCTGGCTGTTCCTTAGAGTAGAAGGTAACCGAGAAGGCTGAGAGAAAGAAAATCGAAGTTGCTTTTATGGTGCAACATTAGAGATGCTGGCTTGTCTGTGATGACAAGGATCCTAAACACACGCCCTGGAATTTACAGCGCAGAGGGTGTTTCCAGAATTTAGACCCAGACCCTGAAGGGCAGCGCTCTAGGTTTTCGCGCCGGCGTTGCGGGGTGCGCAGGCCGCTTCTGGGGCGGAGCCTCGCGCTGTCCAGCAGCGGGACGCGCGGGACAACCTGGCAGGCGATGCTTTTCATGGAGGTAGGGCGCCACGGTGGCTGGGACCTGCTGGCTTTAGAGAGTTAGCGGGTGTGGCTGGAGAGTCTGGGTGAGATTGGGAGGTTTGCCCTCAAGACCTGGACGGGCAGGGACCTTGGGCAAGTCTCAGAGTTTCCTGGGAGCGGCGTCACGAAGCACTTTGTACCTGGACTTTAGGGCTGTGCGCGCCGCTGGCTCGCGGTCGGCAGCCCTGGGTGCCCTGAAGCCTAGGTGCTTAGTGGGGGCAACGGTACGTTTAGAGTGGGAGGGCTGGAGGGATGCAGCCCTGGGCTCGGCCGCCACCGCTGCACCTTGACGTTCCCGTATACAGGCCCGGGCGCGGAGGCGACTTTCCCACGACCTGATCGCGCGCTGTCTGGCGAGGACTGCGCTGCCGCGTTGTGGGAGCACAGCGCGTGCCTGGGGGGAGCCCGGCCAAACGAGACGTGGAAGTGGGCGGGGATACAGGACCAAAAGGCGGGCTCAGACGCATCTGGAGGGGTTTGTGGTCTGAATTTGGAAGATCCCAGGTGACAAAGCTCAGAGTATAGGGGCTGTGGAGCTCCGGTGGCCTAGCGGCAAGAAGCTGCGTTGCAATCCCGAAGCTGCTTTGCGGGGGAAGGATGGGCAATCTCCTCCCGTGCGATTAACTGCTTCTGAAAACCCGCTGAATTCCACCAATTCCATCCACACAATAAAGACCTTTGAGTTGGGTTAGAAATCTGACCAGAGATCTCAGGGGCGATCCCTGAGTTGGGACAGCATGTGGGAGGGGTTGGTGTATCTAATGAATGGCGCGTGCCCTGGGTCAGCCCACGAGCAGTTTCCATCTCCAGCTATGAAAGATCATTCAGCAATCGGAAACTGATTGCTGGAAGCACTACTTTTCTGGTTGCATCACTTGTCTCTCTCTCTCTCTCTCCCCCTCCCCCTCCTATTAGGATTTCTCTGCTCTGAGCTCCAGGCCGGCCGCCTCCTGCACCGGAAGCCCCAACTGAACCCCAGCCCGTCACAGCTCCTTGAGGACAAAGGAGGGAGCAGGCATTTTCTAGGAACTGATCCTTACCCTCCACACCCTGGGGCTGCCCAGACCCGTGCCGAGAACCCCCACCAGCAGGCTGTTGCAGGAGTTGCATGCCAAAGTGTAGAGCCAGAGCTGTCTCCTGACCCTGGCCACCCTCACTTCCTTCATACAGGTGAGGGTCTGCTCCAGCAGGAGTGACCCCCCCCCTCAGGACTGTTTTCTTATGGACACATTTCTTGCTTCCATAGTGTGCACCCTCGGGCTACTAAGTTCTGTGGAGGTGTGCACCCGTTTCGGCCCTAGCCAGCCTCTAACTCCTCCCATCAGATCTCAGAGCCTTCTTGCCTCCAGGTTGCTTGCAGCCCCTCCTCAGCTCTGCGCTGGATGCTCCCAGATGAGTAAGACTGTGTGTGAATAATGTTCTCACCCAGAGATGAGGGGCAAGGGGTTCTCTGGCCTTACTGAACACGCTCCTTCTCCCCCCAGGAAGCGTTGGCATTACTGTCCCAAATGATGTGAGATGAGAACTGCTGGTGCCGCTGCCTTCTCCTGACACAGCTGGACCTCACCACATCTGCCGTCCACTGGGGCAGCTGGGCAAATGTGTGGGAAGATAACTCAGACCACAGCAGTGAGGCACAGTTATAGGGGTACAGATGCAGGGAAGAGGACCAAGGGCCACCCAGCCTTTTGCAGGTGCTGGGGCAAAGCACTTTCTAGAATCTTGTGAAATTGAGGCTTGTATAGTCTCTAGGGTATTCTAGAAGTCCCAGTTCTGCAGCATTTCAGACATGTTTCCTTAATTTAGAGTTGGGGAATGAGAACCCAAGTGAGAAAGGCATATTCTCAAGATGACAGATCTGACCTGAGGGCATGCTCATGGTTACTGTGTCCATCCCCTCCCTTGACCCTAGGCCCAGGGAGAGGCCATGAAGGCAGTGCTGATACCACTTTGGGAGCCACTGACCTCAAACTCAGATGTTTCTATTGCTCATATCATGGCTGCCCAAATTAACCTGTCTTGACTTGTGCCAGCCATGAGTATGGCTGCCTGCCGGGGGACCTGCTGTGCCAACAAGGTAGGCCCCTGGTAACAAGGGAGAGACTGGGCACCCGTGGCATTTTGTCTTTGTCCTATTCCAGCCTAGGCCAGGGCCTCAGGTCTCATCCATTCCAGCTGGCCAGTGGAAACTTTTTTTTCTAAAAAGAAAAAAAAATAAGAAATAACCTTTGTTTAAGTGCTTATGATTGAGTGGAAATAATTTATAAAAATTATTATTTAGCCACATACTCCTCTAACTAGTCTTATATTGATTGGAGAATAAAGTTTAGCCTAGCAAAGGATGAGGCCAACTTTGCCTTAAGAAAAAGAACAGTTAACTGTTATAAGGTGGCAAAGAAATGAGAATTAGAAAAATACTCTGGTCTACTGAAGATGTAAACAGATCCCCCAATTAAAAAAACAAAAACAAAGCAGCACTGCTCTCGTTAACACTGAGTGTGCACTGGGGCGTCTGCTGCCCCCTCACCCTTGGGTAACGCTTGCTGAGGTCCTGGCAACACAATCGGAAAAGCTCACATCCTGAGTCTTCTACCGTCTCACAGCCACTGTACCACAATGGTAAACACTTGCTCTTTCTTTTTCAAACTCATTCCCTTTGTTTTCTGACACCTTTGTCTGAAATTGTTTTCCTCTTTGAAATGGAAATCTGATTGACCTGCAGGTGCTCATGGGCAGTGTGCCATACTTAGGGGGCCGCCTGAGCGAGCTGGAGGTACCCATACCCAGCTGGCAGAGGAGGAGAGAGGGCAGAGACAAGTGGAAGGCCAATTGCCAGGCCTAGGGCTACAAGAAGAAGTGAAGGGTACTGGTGGATAGGGTTCCTCATGAGATGCCTATGCTACTGAGGAGTACTTCTGGGGTGTCAAGTTGAGGGGTTCTCTTAGCACCTGGCACCCAGAGCCCCCGACTGCTGCTCTTGATGTGCCAAACATCTTCCCATCCCATCCACTACTACACCATGAGCTGTGTCTTTTGGAAAATAAATTTAATTTTTCACACCTGGAAGGCTCATCTTTGTGGAGACCAGGTCAGGGGCATTCAGGTTCGAGGTGTGTTGTGGGGTTTCTGTCCCTTGTGTCGCAACAGGCCTCTGCTGCTCTGCCAGTCTGCGCCCTTTGCTCTTCAGCAGCACGTCGATTCCTTTCTGCGGGCACAGGGAAAGAGACACTCTGGCACTAGCCACAACTTTTTTTTTTTTTCACTAGCCACAACTTAGCAGAAGGAAAATCTCCACTTTCCTGTGTTTGTATATCCAGTGCCGAGGGGCAGACTTGAAATGAGAGGGATTTTCAAATGGGGATAATAGCTAGTGGAGAAAAGGCAGAGATGGGATCTGGACTGGGGGGGGTCTTGCAACTTTGGATGTGTGGTGAGGGAGGCCTCATCCAGAAAGGGAGCCTTAAAAAAAGGGGGGGGGGAGCCTTAGGCGAGGTCCTAAATAGAAAAGTCTCTGGGGAAGAGGGTTCTAGGTGAGGGGGAGCATTGGGGGGCGGAAGGGAGGGAACGGGACAGCCAGTGCCATAGCCAAGAGGTTGGGAATAAGCAGTGAAAGGTGACAAGTCCAGGCAGGGTTACGCTGTAGGCTAGAGGGAGCACCCTGGCCTTTAAGGAGACAGAGCCCTAGGAGAGGGACATGATGTGACTCAGGTCTTCACAGGGTCCCTATTCCACCCCTCTTTCTAGCCTCTTTCTCTTTCTGGAACCCAGGTGTTTAGAACTCAGCTCCCCTTATGGACCTCTCTGGTCCATTCTATCAGCCTACAATACCAGTTAAAAAACCAAACCGAGACCCACTGTCCTCAAGTCAATTCCGACTCCCATGACCCTCTCTATCAGGTCTCTGAGGCTGTAAATCCGTACGTGCCCATCTCTCTCCACAGAGAGCCGTTGGCCTTTCAGCTAGCAGCCCAATACATAAACGCTGCACTACCAGAGCACCTTTTGGTGGACAGGAGCTTCACTTTTAGAGGCAGACAGACCTAGGTTTGCGTTCTAATGAGCACTTGCCTTGGCCAAGCAGCTTAACCTCACTAAGCAAGCCTCAGTTTCTTCATCTGTAAAGTGCACATTACAAGGAGTAGGTGAGAGTATGCCTGTATCTAAATGCACAAATACTAAGTGGTCAGGAAAAGGAGGCATGATTAAAAACTGCTATTTGGTGACCTAGTGGTAAGAAGCTGCACTGCAATCCAAAGGCACATAGTTCGAATCCACTAGCTGTTCTGTGGGAGAAAGATGGGCAATCTCCTTCCATGTAATTTCCTACCTCTGAAAACCCACTAGAGTGTCAGTTATGGGTAAGTTCTGACTCAAAGGCACACTACAACAACAATAGCATTCTACGGAAGAAGAAAATAATTTCCTCTTAGAGCAGGAAGTGATGGAAGGAAGCTTCAAGATAGGCAGTGTGGACGGGGAGGAGTTGGTGCATTTGGACCTTCTCTCCTGGGGGTGGAATAGCAGGACCTGACTTTGTTGTTTTGTTTGTTTGGTTTTTAATTTTTTAAATGTTATGTGTGTGTGTGTACCGTCAAATCTGATCTGACTGGTACAGGAGGAGATTGCTCCTTCTCGGACCTGACTTTATAAGAGCAAGTGAGAGAGAAGAGCGAGCTCAAGACCATGTCTAGGAATCTGGCTTGGAGAACTGAGTGGATCGTAGGGCTGTCATTGAGAAGGGAACCTTGGAAGAGGGAGACACTGGCTGATGCAGAGGGTGGTTTCAGAGGCTGGGAGCAGTGCCTTTCCCAGACAGATTTTTCACTGAGTGGATTTAATGACTATTTTCCAGAATCCAATCTGAGTCTCTACCTTTGGATAGCAGAATTTACATCACTGATACTTATTGTAGCTCTTCATTTCTTTGCCTTATTCTTGTCAATTTATTGAGGTGATTCTCCCTTTCCCTTCCATTTTATAAGTGGCTATTCCTTGGAGAGCAACATTATACTTGGGAAGGTGGAAGGATGGTGAAGGAGAGGAAGACCCTCAACCAGGTGGATTGACAAAGTCACTGCAGCATTGGGCTGGAGGGCGTGGGAAACTGAGGAGGGCACAGGGTTCAGATCTGCTGTTCATAAGGTTGCAATGAGGTGCACTCAACTTGATGGCACCTAACAATACAACAACCAGCACCCATACATTTCTATTTTCAATTCTATTTTCTGTCATCCAGAATTGACCTTTTGTTTCACCCAAGCAATGGAAACTTTGATGCATTTTTACTTTCCTCAAAAACAAAGCCCCTCAAATTCATTGCCCTTGAGTTGGAATCGACTCAACTGACCGTCTAGTGGGTTTTTTAAGGCTGTAAATAACATGAGAGGAGGTGATATCTTTCTCAGAGCCACTGGTGGATTAAAACTGCCACAGAGGTGAACTTTGGGTTAGCAGTGCAGCTCCTGCTACAGATCCTCCCACCATAACTCCCTAGGTTTTCCCAAATCTACCTGAAGGTGCCCAGGGAAATAGCTAGTCTCCCTATGCACAGCGGGGGACAGGGACTGTTCCTCCTCACCATCTCTGGCCCCCAGAAAGGGGGTGAAGCCTCTGTCTGGGTCCAGGCATGGCAAAGGTGGGACTCAGTCTCAGATTCCGGGGACAGAATGTCTGGGAGATTTTCCTCGGAGCCTGTTTGTGAGGTGATGGGTAGAAGGACAGAGGAGTTTATCCCCACTCAGCATGTCCCTGTTCTAGATGAGCCACACCTTGGGTCTTACCTCGGCTGACATGGGCAGCTGATGTGGACGGAAAGGAAGCTCCCGGGGGGGCCACGCTGCCCTTCACCCCCAGTTTCTTACACTCCACCTTCACTTGGTCTCTGCAGTGTTTGTGGCAGCACAGGCCACAATCTGCGGGAAGGGCAGTGTTTAGGACCTAGACACCCCGACTGCACCCTCCCATGTGCTCTTCCAGCCTCCAGGCCCTGGGTCCACCACCCCACCAAAGTCCTACTCACCCCGGCAGCGGTAGCCTTGTTTGGTTACTCCCCAGAGCTGTGAAGAGAAAGCACAGTTTGCTACCCAGGCCATGGGCTGGAGTGTGTGTCTTTCTGGGAACCAGCCTGTGTGAAAACCTTCCAGGTTCTGGAAGTTCTCCGAGACTATTGGGTGATTAACTAAGATTTGGAGATGAAAGGAATTTGGAGGTTATCTGAAATTTGAGGGATAACCTAATAATTAGAATTAAGCAAGTTTGGAAAGACATTATGCTGTGAAAGGCAGACGGTCAAAGAAAGTAGAAGACTCTCGATAAGAAGGATCGACACAGTGATTCTAAGTGTGGACTCGAGTGCATCTGAGGTCGTGAAGACGGCGCCCAGTGCAGGTCTGCTGTTCACAAGAGCACTATGAGTCGTCTACTTGATGGCACCAAGTAACAACAAAGTCACTGAAGAGGGATTATGCCTGTTCTTTTTCCTGCTATCTCCTCAGAGCCTAAAACTGTGCCTGATACACAGTAAACACCCAGGAAACATTTGGTGACTAAAGAAATGAATCTGCAAAGAAATCCAAGGGTTGTGAATTAGTTTCACACTGAGAAATTTTCTCCTTTACCCAGAATTTGAGAACACTTTGGATCTGGAAATCACCCAGGGTTTGAATGATCTGGAGTCAACTCTGGAGATTGTTTGGAGAGGATCTATCAGCCTACACATTATACACAGTATAATTTGAGATGGTAATTCCCATAGTTTAGAGATTACTCAGAATTTGGAGATGATGTAGATGGAGGGGCTGACTCTGCAGCATTTATGGTTTCTTGGAAATGTGACTCTTTGAGTCTAGAGGACTGCCTGGAATTATCTGGGGTTTGGAGACTCCAGAGTAAGATGTTCTGGGCACAGGATGGGAGCACTTGGAGGGGTCCAGGGGAGAGGGATTTTAGGGGAGTAGTCGGCATAGTACTCACAAAACCATTGCAGTTGTCGCAGAAGGTGGGTTTGCGGAAGGTGACTTCATGGAAGGTGTGCAGGAAAGCCAGGCCCAGCTTGGAGCAGATGGCGCTGGCCCGGAGCAGGTAGCCTGTCAGCTCCTCTCGGCTGAAGGAGCCGTGCCTGAAGGCAGAGACCGGGTTTATCAAGCATGTGACCTCTTCTTCCCAGACTGAGGGATCCAGGCCATGGCCCCAGCTTCTCTCACCCCCACGAGTCCCGCCCCTCAGCCCCTCCTTGCTTAGATTCAGAAGTCATGGTCCTCAGCCCCTTTTCCCCTCAGGTCAGGCATCCTCAGTGTCTTTATATTTGGGGCCCAGAGTCAGGACCACTCACCCCTGGCAGGGAGGTGGGTGCAGCCCGTGACAGGCAAAGGGGAAGTTGCCCGAGAGTCGCTCAAAGTCCTCCTGTGAAATGGTTCCTCGGCCCTCAGGGTCATAATTCTTGAACACAGACTTGGGAGGGGTGTGGGAAGGCCGAGTAAGGTCAGGCCATCAAGATACCACCCCTTCAATCCTAGGTCCCCTCCTCAGGATCAAGGCTACACAGATATCTTGCCCCATCACTCCCAGCAGCCCTGGGCCCCTTCATACCTCCACTAGCTGCTCCACATGCCGGCCCAGGGTGACCCTGTCTGGCTTGGGTGTCACGCCGGGGGCCCACTCCACCACCAGGGGTGCTTTGAAGGGGGAGGGTGGCTGAGGAAGGGACAGGGTGGCACAGTTAGTTGGGGTACAGGCTTGGGCTGGAGCAAGGGGTCAAGGATAGCATCTTACCAGGCTTTTGGGACAGCGGGGTTCCCGGGCATAAGAGAGCTCATAGATCTCATCTTCCGTGTAGAAGAGATCCAGGGAGAGCTAGGGTGGGAAGGGGCATCAGACTTCCTCAGCTCCATCTCACACTCCTTTCCCCCACCTACATCCAAGCCTGTGTCCTTACCCAAATCTTCATGCCCCACATTCTTCCTGCAGCTCCCCATTTCTAGGAGCCCCAGTGTCTCATCTCCCACCAAACCCCTCATTCACCCTCCACATCTCCCCTCTTCGATTCCTCAAATTCCACCTTGTTACTGAGGGTTTGTTGAGTTTTATTAGCCTCATTTAAAACTAGGCAGCTCTGGTGGCCTAGTGGTAAGGAATTTTACTGCCAACTCAAAGACTGGGGATTGGAACCCACTAGCTACTCCACAGGAGAAAGATGAGCAGTCTCCTTCTGTGTGATTTACAGTCTCTGAAAGCCCACCCGTTGGAGGGGCAGCTATGAGTCAGTTCCAACTCCACGGCAATGAGTGTGAGTGCATTTAAACCTTTGAGTCCCTGAGTATGAATCAACAGCAGGTCAGCAGGTCTGAACCTTGTCCTCTCCTGTCCCTCCTCACCACCGCTGCCATGCACAAGTCCTGTTATAGTCACTGTGTCAGCCCAGCTTGTTGCGGGTCTCCCTCTCTCTGTCTGACTCTCCACCTTTCCCAACATGATGTCTTTATCCAGAGACTGGTCCCTCCTGACAACATGCCCAAAATATGTGAGCTAAAGTTCCACCATCTTTGCTACCAAGGTGTATCCTTGGCTGTACCAAGACAGACTGTTCTTTGGCAGTCCACGGTGTATTCAGTACTCTCATGGTGTATTCAGTACTCTTCTCCAACACCACAATTCAAAAGCATCAATTCTTCAGTCTTCTTTATTCATTGTCCAACTTTCAGATACATAGGAAGCAACTGAAAATACCACGGCTTGGATCAGACACACCTTAGTGTTTGAACTGACATTGTTCTTCTTTAGAACTTTGGAGAGGCCATTGGCAGCAAATTTCTGCAGTGCAACACATCTTTTGATTTCTTGACTGCTGTTACCATGAGTATGGATATGGATCCACATGAAATTGAAATTGTCGAAGACTTCAGTCTTACCATGATGTTGCCATTGTTATGTTAATGAGACAGTATCAGTAACAGGGTGTTTCGGGTTTTTTTTAGGGTGTGTTTTGAGTCAATCTTTTGAAAAAGACCAAGCAGACAAGCACACCTAGGGGGAGATTGATACTAAGCCTCATGGAGATCTCCAAGGGACCAAGAAATAGAAGGTGAACAGAAGCAACAATTTCCCAAAACACTATATAACATGAAAGAGACTGGAGAGCGTTATGATGAGTGAACTCAGTCTTATAAGGACAAGATACTACATTAGACCATTATTGTAAAAATAGAAGGATAGTAAAATGTGTATGAAGGTCCAAGGGGGGGAAAGGTGGAACAGAGGGGTGAGGATGGTCGGGGGAAAATCATAAGGTCACACAATTTGGTGGGTGGAGGGAGGGAATAAAAAAAATGGGAAAGATCTAGCTGAAAAGGCGGGGTAATGGAGAGCACAGTTCAATGGTGATTGATTTTATAAAACACAATGTATACAAATTTTGTATGCAAACCAATATATATTGTTGTTATATACCATCGAGTCACTTGCGACTCATAGCGACCCTGTGTACAATAGCTCTGAACTCTCCTCTATCCTGTGCCAACCTCTGACACACCAACCTCCATTATTCCATTCACTGAGTCAATCAATTCATATCATCTCAGAGGGTCTTCCTCTCTTGCACTGTCCTTCCACCATCCCAAACATGATGTCCCTCTCCAAGAACTGGTCACTTCTTGCAACATGCCCAAAGTATGTCAGACGAAGCTTCCAAATCCTTGCCTCCAAGGAGCAGCTTGGTTTAACCCTCAGTAGGATGAACCTGTTTATTCTCCTACCAGTCCATGGTACATTCAATACTCTTCTCCAGCACCACAGCTCAAAAGCATCAATTCACCTTCTATCATACCTAGTCATTCTCCAGCTTTCTGATGTATAGCAAGTAATAGAAGACTATGGCCTGGATAAGGAGTACCTTAGTCTCCAGGCTGACACTGTTGCTCTTCAGTACCCTGGAGAGGTCCTGGACAGCAGATTCTCCCAATGCAATTTGTCTTTTGATTTCTTGGCTGCTGGTTCCAAGAGTGTTGATTGTGGAGCCAAGCAAACTGAAGCTGTTAACAAACTCAGTCTCGTCATTGTCTATCATGATGCTGTCAACAAATGGATCCAATGGTGAGAATCTTTGTCTTCTTGATGTTGAGCCTTAATTCATATTTAAAGCTGCAGTTTTTGACCTTCTGCAGTAAGTGCTTCATCATGTCCTCATGCGTTTCAGCAAGTAAGGCTGTGTCATCTGCTTAACTCAGGTTGTTGATGAGTCTTCCTCCAATCCTGATGTCACATTCCTCCTCATACAGTCCAGCCTCCCAGATGATCTGTTCTGCATAAAGATTGAAAAGGTATGGAGATAGGACACGTTCCTGGCATATACCATTCCTGATTTTGAAGCATGCAGTATTTCATTACTCTGTTCTCATGACTACCTCCTGGTCCAAGTATAGGTTTTGCATAAGCTCAATCAAGTGTTCTGGGATTCCCATTCTTCTCAGCCATAGTTTCTTGTGATTCCCCCCCAAATATATATGTATATAATATACATGTATATACACACGTATATATTCTTAATACAGTGCCTCTAGACGTCTAGCTTCTTAAACTCTTTAAAAAATTACTTATTTGTTGTGTACCGTCAAATCGGATCCGACTGACACAGGAGGAGATTGACCCTCCTTCTCCAGTGGAGCATCTGATGGATTTGAATTGTGTGCCTTCTTGCCACCAGGCCACAAGAGCTTCCTGCTTCCTAAACTCTTTGATAAACTATATTTCTGTTTGTTAAAGTCACCCACTTGTATTTCTGTTATGGCAGCACAAAAGAACCAAGACATAGCCCCTTTGGATCCAAGCATCAGGCCTTAGGCTTCATCTTCTGGGGACAGGGCTAGTGTCACTGGTGTGTGACCTGTGTCATGCAGGGCCCTACACTTAGCATAAGCCATGCTAAATTTAATGCCTGGCTGTCATCAGCTTGAAATGAGTAAACTGTGAACCAGGAACCTTGGGTTTCCATTTTGTACTAGGCGGTGGTGTTAGGTGCTGTTGAGCTGACTTCACCTCCTATGGTTGTTGTTGTTATGTGCCATCGAGTCACTTGCGACTCATAGCAACCCTATGTACAACAGCCCTAAACCCTACTCTATCCTGTGCCAATCACATTGTCTCTGACAATCCCATCCTGATTACTCCAGTCACTGAATCAATCCACCTCATAGAGGGCCTTCCCCTCCTATGCTGTCCCTCCACCCTCTCAAGCATGATGTCCCTCTCCAAGGACCGGTCTCTCCTTACAACATGTCCAAAGTATGTTAGACGAAGCCTCAGAATCCTTGCCTCCAAGGAGCCCACCGCTTTAACCCTTTCCAGGATGAATCTGTTTGCTTTCCTAGCAGTCCATGGTACTCTCAATACTCTTCTCCAGCACCACAGCTCAAAGGCATCAATTCTCCTTCTATTCTCCTTGGTCATTGTCCAACTCTCTGATGCATAACAAGTGATAGCAAAGACCATGGCCTGTATCAGATGCACCTTAGTCTCCAGAGAGACACCGTTGCTCTTCAGTACTTTGTAGAGGTCCCTAACAGCAGACTTTCCCATTTCCTGGCTACTGGTGCTGAGAGTGTTGACTGTTGACCCTAAATACAGCAGAAGGAAAACTTACCTGATCCAGCACCATCCTTACAACCTCTGCCATGCTCAAGTCAATTGTAGTCACTGTGTTAATTCATCTTTTTAAAAAACATTTTTTATTGATTTCCATAGAATAATACGTTTACCATAGGTTTGATTCCTATACATTGTTAGTTCATCTTATTGGTGGTCTTCCCTTCCTTTGCTGACCACTCGACTTCTACAAGCATGATGTCTTTCTTCAGGGACTGGTTCCTCCTAGAAATTGGCCCCTCCTCACATAGTATGTGAGATGAAACCTCACCACCTTGGTGTCTCAGGAGCATTTTGGCTATACTCAGTGGCTCCTGCATATTCCATAGCTGGCCCTGTCCTAGGGTTTGGAAGTCAACTTCCAGTCTTTGCACGGCCCTCGGAATCCTGGTCTATAAACAGGTCAGTCACAGCCACAATTTCAGTCACCAGGTTCAGAACATAATTTGATTATCATGTTTGCATATAGACCTAAGCTCGCCTGCCTGGATTGATATTTTTTTTATTGCCCCAGACCTCAGTTCCCCCAGTCTATAAATAAAATGGACACTAAAAGGGTCTCTACTTCATAATAATCCACGAAGGGTGTTGCCTGGCACTGAGTAAGTGATCATCAGTAACATAATAATAACCTTTTACTCAGATTCGCAGATACAATAAAGATTAGAATTTTGGACCAACAGTAGGAGAAACTCAGAACTGTGGAGTTCAAGAGTTCAAAAGCCCAAAGCCGACCCAGAAGCTCAGATCTTGAGCCTGAGACACTGAGGTATATGGGACAATGTTAAACAGAATTCACTGTCTTCTGATTTTATCTTAAGTATTTTGGGTAAATTTGGGTTCAACAACCTTCTGAAGTGGATCCTGATTTTATTATTACCATTTTGCCAAAAAAAAAAAAACAAAAAAAAACCAAACTGAGGGTGAGAGGTCAACTGACTTGCCCAGAAGAAGCCGTAGAAGCTGTGGCATCTGAGCCAATGTGTTTCCCCTCTGTTCAGTCCCCAGTCCCTTCCCAGCCTGGGCAGGGTGGGGCAGCTCACCATGAGGAGGTGCAGGAGGTCCTCGTTGGCACTGCAGGGCGGGCGCTGGCCCTGGAGGGCTGCCAGTTCTTGCAGCCGCAGGTAGAGGCCATTGAGCTTGGGCAGGTGCAGGCGGCCATCAGGCAGCCTGTCAGGCTGGGCCTGGTGCAGGGACACCAGGTCCTTGAGGTGCACACCGAGCACAGGCAGCCGGAAGCCCACACAGCTTGCCCAGGCACGGCGGTAGCGGGCATAGTTGTTGTGGGCTGCGAGGAGTTCAGTCAACTCCACCAGGACCTGGCAGCAATAAGGGTGTGTGTGATTGTTTTATTTTTAAGGTAAAATAGTAATGATAGATTTATTAGAAAGTTACACCCCCAAAGGGACGGATGTCCCCCCACGGGAGGAAATGTGGAGGGGAAGCAGTGTGCTACTGAGGTGAGTCTCCATCAAGTTACGGACATTCAATGCTGATCCCTGAGACACATCACTGGGCCCCCTTTGTGTTCATTATTGGTCTTGGACTCTCTCCCAAATGATCCTTGCCTCAAGGAGAATCTATATCCACCATTCCCAGGCTAGAGTCCTGGGTCTCAGTCAGGATGCCACTTCCTGCCTTCCTCCTGGTCCCACTCATACACACCTGCATACACACACACACACACACACACACACACACACACACACACACACACTCTCTCTCTCTCTCTCTCTCTCTCTCTCTCATCATCCCTGAGCTATCTCAACTTTCCAAGCATCTGTTTTTCCTGCCCATCCCTCCTCCCCTCGGTCCTATCTTCCCCTCAGTCTGGGCAGCAGCCTCCCCAGGGCACAGTCTGCAGTAGTCTCTCCTTCAATCCACTCCCCACCCTACAGCTCGTGATTCTCCTAACACAAAAACCTGGTAACATTCTTCCTTAGTTCAAAAACTCGCGGAGTGCCTCCCCAGGGCCCCAGGATAAGGAATAACAGCACACACAGCTTTTAGGGTGCAGAGCCAGCTCAGGTCTGCTGGTTACCTACCTGCCTTGCCTCTTCATCTACACCACCCACTAGATCAATTTATCAAAAGCCTAAATCTGATCATGAGTGTCGCCATCGATCCCAGATCTTTCCTAGCTCCTTATCACCCTCTGACGAACCCTAAACCCTTAGCTGATCTTGTAAGGCCCAAGGTGATCACCCCTGCCACGTCTTTAAGCCTAGTTCCTAACACTTCTTGACTCCAACCACACCCTAGACTCATAGGTGACACCTTCCCAGGACATCCCAGTCTACATCTGTCTTTTAGGTGGCCAAGATGTTGAGATTTTTGGGTGAGTGGTTTTATTCTCTTTGGACTGCAAGCTCTCTATTCAGACCACACACACACACACACACACACACACCCCAACAATGACTGGAGGAAGAAGAAGGAGAAAGACAAAGCCTGGGGGCGAGTATCTCTGGGATTTTGGGAAGCAAGTTGTTTGGGTGATTCCAGAGTCCCTAAGCAGGACTTGAGGGGAGTTGCTGTTGCTAGGTGTCACTGAATCAGCTCTGACTCATACTGACACCTCGGGAAAGAAACCCTGCCCAATCCTACACCTTCCCTATGATCTCTGCTGTGCCTGAGCCCACTGGTGCAGTCACTGTGTCATCCCATCTCATTGAGCACTTTCCCCCTTCACTGATCCTCCATTTTTCCAAATGTGATGTTCTTCTCCAGGTTCTAGGCACTCCCAATCACATGCCCAAAGGATATGAGACAAAGTCTCACCATCCCTGCTTCTAAGGAGCATCCCCGGCTACACTTTTCCCAAGTGTTTTTGTTTGTTTTTGGTTTATTTGTTCTTTTGGCAGTCTACAGGATATTCACTATTCTTTGTCAACACCACAGCTGGGGTCGGGAAATTAAACGCAGGGGTTTGAGCTAGCAGACCACTTGGGAGTCTGGGGAAGGCAGTGTGGAGCTCACCTTGGTGCTGTCAGGGCTCAGGTGGGAATGGGAGTCCTTGAGTCTGGAGATGGCACTGTGACACAGGCCCCCAGTGACTGCCATCAGCGTGTTGAAATTCTGAAGCTGGTGGAGCTTCTAAGAAGAAAACAGATTGGGAGGGCAAATGAGAGAGTCCCTGTGGAATAGAAAGACTCATAAATATGTGTAGTGTGGACCAGTGTGGCCACCAGACCCCTGAGTGGGCATGGTTAGGGCAAGCAGGAGGCCAGAAAAGGCTGGGGCAACAGGCAAGTATGTATATTGAGTAGAGTGCCTGCCCAGGGTTAAGGGCCGCCTCCAGGCAATCCTAGGAACACAGTGGGTTGCCTGTTGTGTTTGCTGACTGATTGCTAGGTTATCAGTCACATCCGATTAGGATCCACAGCCAGTGGAGAGTCCCCATGAGGAATTCATCAGGTAGTAGGTTTGGCTTTTTTTTGTTTTGTTTTGTTTTTTTTAAGGTCCCAGCAGGAGGAAGCAAGGCCATGAGGGCCAGAGGAAGGGTGTGGCTTGCAAGGGTCTCCATGGGGGCAGAAGGGCTTCCCTTTTCTTTTTCTTTTTGTTTAGATTATAAATACACACATGTATTCATGTTTATGTGAAATTTCAATACAAAAGAAATTATTCAAAAGTTCAGAGAAAATATGCAATAATGAATGAATAAAAATCTAATTTTCCTGAAAACTTGCATTAAAATCACAGTTCAAGTATAAAAAAGTTCATGAAAAAGTAATTCTGGATTTTACAGCTGATTTAGCAATGTTTTTCTAATTTTCTATAGGGCTTCCCTTTTCTCCAGAAGGAAGGGAAGATATCCTGAAAGGGGAAGGTTGTATGTGACTCAATGGGTAGGAACCAGGGCATGATGGGTGGGAGGGAAATGGTCACTATCCTGGAGAGACCACCCGGACTGGGGTTCTGAGCGACCACCCGGACTGGGGTTCTGAGCAGTGGTGAAGTTTAAAGGTGGTGGGTCGCTTTTCTTGCCATCTTGGTGCCCGTGAAGGCCTCCTGGGAACAGAACTTCTAAACCGCAGAGACAGTGGAGGCTGTGATGTGAGGCCACTTTTGCTGCCTATAAACGAAGTCTTCAGAACCGGAGGAAGCACACAGCTCTACTTAAAATCGAGGGTGTTTACAACGAGATGAAACGGAATTCTATTTAGGCAAGAGATGTGCTTATGTTTACAAAGCAAAACATAATACAATGACTCCTGGTGGTGAACCTAACACAACCAGCGTAATCTGGGGAAAAGTAACAGTAACATGCCCACGTAAACAGTGGCATGGCTCGGGCTAGATTTCAGAGCAACCTTCGTGCTAAGACCATTGAACACAGAATCCACGTAATGCTGCATCTCTCGAGGGTTTAAACTTTTTGAAAAGCATATAAGATTATGATGGCTGTGGAGGGTCGTCATAAGGGTCAGGAGGGAGGGCTGAGATATGCGGTGAGGGGCGGGACCTTAAGGTGCATGACGTCACATCCCAGCACCCACATTGGGCCGGGTGTGTAGGCTGCAGTAGAGGACCCAGAGCGGTGGGGGCTGTGTGTGGGGGTGGGAGGTGGGGTGTGGGAAGCGATCAGAGGTGCCTCACCTGCGCCACGTGGATGAACTTGTCCAGCACCTGCGCACGCTGCGTGGGCCCTGGCCGGCTCAGCACCATGACCTGCACCCACCGGGACACGCTGTTGCTGAGGCCGACAGAACCTTCCAGAGCTGGGCAGTCCCGCACAGAGCCCTGCAAAACATAGCTCCGCAGGTCCTGAGGCTGAGGCAGAGGGGCGGTTAGGGTGGGCCAGGGAGCCCAGGGTCTGCCCTCACGTGCCCTCCCTCCAGCACTCACTGATGCTATAACCCCTCCTTGCCCGAGTGACCTTTGTTACCTGCCACTTTTTCTCCAGCCTTAATTCCCACTCCCCTCACCCTAGACTGGCACACAGGGAAGGGGTTCCCTTTCCTGAAGTCACAAGCAGCCCTCAAGTCCCTGGAAAAGACAGTTTGCAGGTTTGGGTGGTGAGTTGGGGTGTTTTTGTTTTTGTTTTTTTTTAATGTTTGGAAGATTTTAAAATTAACTAAAAATCTCACCACCAACAAAACAAAGCCAGTTGCTATGGAGTCCATTCTGCCTCATAGCAACCCCATGTGTGTCAGCGTTTCCATGGATAATTTTTTGGGAACATATATCACCAGACCTTTCTTCGGAGGTGCTGCTTCTGGGTGGCTTGATTAAACTTAAGACAGATACTACTCTGAATCTTTAACCATATTAACCAATTTAACGCTAATTCTGCAAGGTCAGTGCCATTAGTATTGTTCCCATTTTACAGATGAAGCAGTTGAGGCACAGAGAGGCTGGGAAACCTGCCCAGGGCGACATAAGTGTGAACCTAGATGAAAAGCCAGTCTGCTGCTCTTAACTATATACCTGACTGACAGAGTCAGCAAAGTGAAAGATAGTGAAGGCTGAGGGGGAAAAAAATCATGAAACCTACTTCTTTTTATTCTGTTGAAGGCAAGAGGCACAGTGCTGACCCTTCCACACCCACATTGACTCATCCACTCACTCTCCTTTCAAAATCTTTCCAGAATTCCACTTCTCACTCCTGCTTGGCCCCACCCTGGTCTTGACAATCTTCCTTTCCTGCCAGGACTCAAGGCTGCCTTTTCTCCTGGCTCCTGGCTCTGTCGACTTGACAGCACATAACAACAACTACAACCTACTCTATTTAGCCAGCAAAAGGCTTATTATGTATTTTTAAAAGTATTTGGAAACAGGAGTGGCATCCACTTCCTAAGCAACATGCCTCTGGAAACTCGATGAACTTCGATAAATGCCAGTAGTTGTAGAGGGGCTTCAGGCCTTTTGTTCATAGGGTCACATGAGTCATGCTTGACTGGAAGGCAATCATCAACAACAACAACATAAATTAGATTAAAAACCGCAATCCCTAAAATTCACTGTTGTTGAGTCAGAACCGACTTACAGCTGACCCTCCAGTGAATTTCTGAGGCTGTAAATCACACCCGAGGAGATTGCCCATCTTCCTCCAGAAGAGCAGCTGGTGGATTTGAACCTCTAGAGAAACACAGTCTTGGCATTAGCAGCACAACTCTCTACAGACTAGGCCACCAGAGCACCGTAAACTATTTATAAGTGTATATATAAATATAAAGTATTAAAGTATATACTCAATTCATTGCTATCAAGTTGAACTGACTCACAGCTGACCCTCCACCTGGTTTTCTGAGGATGTAAACAGCACTGGCATCTTTCTCCCTTGGAGCAGCTGGTGAATTTGAATCACCAGAGAGGCACAACCTTTGGATTAGCAGCACACCACCCTGTGGAATATGCCACCAGAGCTCCCTCAGCACTCACTGGCATCAAGTCGATTCCAGCTCATAGACCGTCCATCAGGTTTTTGAAGCTGTAAATCTTAAGAAGAGACCCTATCTTTTCCCTGCAGAGCTGCTGATCAATTTAAATTGCTAGAGATGTTGGCATTATGGCCAGTAACACCACATGCTATGGATTACACCAACCAGTGTGTGTGTGTATATATTACACACACACACACACACACACATACACGTGTGTGTGTGTGTATGCATTTGTATACTACCTAGCTAGTTATATATTTAACAATCAGAACTTTTTCACACTAATAAGCTAGATCCTCCCTTCTCTTGAAATGATGATGGAAACCATGAATATATAGCTAGGCTGGAGAACCTAAAATTGCCACTTAAAAAAAAACAAACCAGAATAAATAAAATGTGGCCATTTCAAATGGTTCATCCAAAGAGTATTTTCTCTAAATCAGGTACTTTCTATGAGGCAGGAACTGTTAATATTCCCTATTGTGTAGTCCATTCCATAGCAAGTCACACTGATAACACAAAGGTTGCACATCTCTCATGGTTCAAATCCACCAGTGGCTCTGAGGGAGAAGCAATCTCCTCCCTATATGATTTATAGCCTTGGAAACTTGATGGAAAGCACTATGAATTGGGACCAACTCATCTATAATTAATTCAGAATATTTACAGATGAGTTAATGGAGGCAGCAAATTTAAGTGTTTCACTCAATATCACAGATAAGCGAAATGGCTAAAATAGCAAGATATGGTATCAGAAGCCATTCTGTTACATAATGTGTTATATTTCTCTCCTTGGCACTTAGCACCTTCTAATGTGGAAATCTTCCCCCATGTCATTTACAACCTCTGGTCAGTGATGAGTTGGTTCTGACTCGATGATCAATTATTCTTCAGTTTTCCTTATTCATTGTTCAGTTTCTTAGCCTGCTAGAAATAATTGGTCTGAATCTCATTTCTTCCCTAAATAATCTGCTAGAGTAAAAAACCAAAGTGTCCAAAGCCAGAATGTTCAGAGTTCATTCCTGAATCTAGGGTGGGTACCATAGAAAACCAAAAGCTTTCTGTTATTTCTTGTACATCCTGGAATTTGGCAGAATTTAACAGATTTTCTAAAATCAGATGAAGATCTCATTGCCAATAAGTCTGAGTGGGCTGGTCATGTCCTCAAGAATTTGTTTTCATTTATGTCATACTGGAGAGCCCTGGTGGCATAATCTATTGCATATTGTGTTGCTAACCAAAATGGTGTGTTTCCAGCAGTTCAGAACCACCAGAGGCTTTGCAGAAAAAAAGGTGTGAGCAGTCAACTTCTGTTGAGACTTCCAGCCTTGGAAACCCAACGGTGGGACACTCTGAGTCGGAACTGACTAAATGGCAGTGAGTTCTCATGGCATATTACGACTAGAAAACTATTAGCCATCTATCCATCCCAGTTGCTCAAATTGTTGATAATATTGTTGATGGGATGGCAGCACAACAAAAGTACTTAGACTCTATTGCTGAAATGATTTTAGATAATAGATTAATCCTTGATTTCCTCTTAGTCCAACAAGGAGGATATTGGGCTATTATTGCTAATGCCTCTTGCTATTCATAGATAAAAACATTTCTGGAGAAACAGAATAAGATATAACTAAAACTACATCAAAAAGCTTCCTGGTTACAAGCCATTTCCTTCACCTCTACCCCATGACTGTATCTTCCTTTTCTGATATTTTTAGTTAGTTGCCTCAAAGTAAGGGATTTGGAATATGCTGATTTCCACTAGTCTTCCTACACCTTTTAAGTATTGTAAATGCTAATATAACTCAACAAGTCAACTCATTGCCACTGAGTTGGAACCACAGGAAGTTTTCAGAAGTTGTAAAGTGCAATGGACTCCAGAGGCCTAGTGGTAAGGAGCTGATTGCCAACCCGAAGGCACACAGTTTGAACCCGCCTGCTGCTCTATGGAGAAAGATGAGATGTCTCCTGTGCAATTTACTGCCTCTAAAAACCCACTGGTTGTTTCAGATCTAAATTCAATTCCACTTTGAATCAAACTGCAGCTTGGCTTATAGTCTCTGCTTCTGCTGCTCTTAAGAGACAAATTAGCTTCCTGAAAAAATGTAACTGCTTGTAACCAGAAGTCAGAGAGTACCAGAAGGATGTTTATCTGTGTTTCATTGACTATGCAAAGACATTTGACTGTGTGGATCATAACAAGTTATGGCTAACCTTGAGAAGAACGGGAATCCAAGAACACCTGATTGTACTCATGCAAAACCTATACTTGGGCCAGAAGGCAGTTAGAACAGAGCAAGGAAACACTGTATGGTTTAAAATCAGACAAGGAGTATGTCAGAGATGTATCCTGTCTCCATACTTTTTCAAGCTGTATACAGGACAGAGCATTCAAGAGGCTGGACTTTATGAGGAAGAATGTGGCATCAGAATTGGAGGAAGACTCCTCAACAACCTGCATTATGCAGATAGCACAACCTTATTTGCTTAAACTGAGGGCCAGAAGCATCTGCAGCAGAAGGTCAAGGCCTGCAGTCTTCTATATGGATTGAAGCTCATCATCAAGAAAACAAAGATCCTAACCACTGGGCCAATTGGCAGCACCATGATAGACTGGGAAAAAAAGATTGAGATTGTTAATAATTCCACCTTGCTTGGGTCCACAATCAACAAACACTCTTGGAACCAGCAGCTGGGATATAAAAAGACAAATTGCATTAGGGAAATCTGCAGCCAGAGACTTCTCCAGAGTACTGAAGAGCAAGGATGTCAGTATAGAGACTAAGGTGTTCCTGATCCCGGCCATGATCTTCACACTTACTGGCTATGCATCAGAGAGGTGAACAACAACCAAGGATGAGACAAGAAGAATTGATGCCTTTCAGTTGTGGTACTGGAGAAGAGTATTGAACATACCATGGACTGCCAAGAGAACAAACAGGTCTATCCTGGAGAGAGTGAAACCAAACTGCTCCTTGGAGGTAAGGATTTTGAGACTCCATCTCACATACTTTGGTCTTGTAGCTAGGAGGGAAGGATATCATGCTTGGAAGGGTTGAGGGACAGTGCAGGAAAGGAAGACCCTGGGTGAATGGATTGACACAATGACTGGAGCAATGAAGGTAAGTGTATCAGAGACAGTGAGATTGACTCAGGATAGAGCACGTTTCAGAGCTATTGCGCACAGGGTCGCTATGAGTTGCAAGTGACTCCACAGCACATAGCAACAATAAAAACAACCTAAAAGGAGCAAAGGTCAAGATTTTTGTTTTATTATGGATTTATTAAAAGATGTTTGCTGAGAATGTGCATGAATTGATCCAAGAAAAATGCCTAGGTCTCTCTCCCGTAGGGCACCTGGTGCCCTCAAACTGCATGCTTTTG